GAAATATTTACAATCGATTGATGCCATTATCTCGTAAATCTATCGAGAGACGGTTGAGTTATTATCGTTCAAAATCTTTTAATTTTTCGTAACTCATCCAAAATGACTGTTTTCAATTGTGTACCCCCGTATGTTGCCGAAAGACGTTATCCAACGTCAAAAAAGGAAATTGATACAGGTTCATTTCACCGGTGCATATTTCAAGCTGAACATTGCATTAGGTTCTAAGTAACATTGATAGATTCTCTTCGTCGACTTTCTCTTTGTATTCCTACGGCAATGTAAATATATTCTCAGGTATTTTCGGCACACAGATCGACAAAAGAAGCTTTTATCTAGCATCCAATACGACAAACACAACAAGAAACAGTTATGTGCTCAAGCTATTAACGAAAGAGAAAGTCGACGAAGAGAATCGATCAATGTTACTTAGGACCTAATGCAATGTTCAGCTTGATTTATCAACTAGAAATAGAATGGAGGTTCGTTCTGCAGAGTGTAAACATTTTTTTTATTTCATTTATCTTTAAATCAATAAAAAAAAATAATACCAAGAGCAAGCGAAGTATCCACAAAATGAAGTCTTGCAAATCACATTAAAATTAAAGAACAACCCATTTCTGCTGAATTCCGCGTATGCTACAACAGTATTATAACACAAAACAAGTATGGTAATTTCTACCCCTCGAAACATTGGAAAATCCACGAACCCCTCATTTTATCTGTCAAACTTTCATAGCGAATCCGAGAGCGAATCAAAACAAACCTAGTGTAGTATTGCAATTTATACTAGAATGGGGTACTTTAATCGATTTGCTTCGGACCAATAGGCTAGTCAAGTAGTGAGCCAATTTAAAATCGTTAGTTTCGAATTGCTTGTTGATATTACTTTGTACTTATTATAATGATTTGTTCACAAATTCTGCGGACAGCGTAATATCACACAACAAGCGGAATTACCAATCAATTGTTTGGGTGTAATATTCCACTCTTTTTTTCTGTAGGGTAGAGAACTACTTCGGCCTAAGCGCTCATTTTGGGCCTATCAAGCAGAAAACATCAAATAAATCCATGATTTCGGCGTTAACAGGTAGATTATGCTTGGATTATGCATTTGCTACGATACTTTAGTTCAAATGCTACCGCACGAAGTCAATAAGAACGCGTGATATGAATGTTTGCTCCCACCCGAAAAAAAAAAGATAAAATTGGTGGGGTTGTGTACAAGACACGACCCCAGGGTTGACGTAGACTACGTTAAGCTGTGTAGTGAAATTCTCGTGCATTTTCTAGATATTGATTTAAAATACAGTAGAAGTAACCTATGATTTCGGTCCTATGTACATATTTTGGATTTCCTACTTAGTAAAACTTGGTTAAATTCAGGATCTCATAAAAATGCGAACACATATTCTATTTAATTTGGTTCCTAAATTACAATCAGATATGAGTAAGGCTTTCTTCAGGTGATTCAACAATGACCGTCAGCCATCATGATATTCCCTATCACTTCAAGATTTCTAGATCATAAATCTTGGACGGTTGTGACATCACTCATAAAATTGAAACTCCTTGTGTACTGGACTGCAACAAACGTGAAGTTCCAGTTTCTTTGTTATAAGTTTTGTGAGAGCTGATATCTGTACTCTTGAAATTTTTCTATGGTAATGAGATTGATCCTCAGCGATTCAACTTCAAAACGCTAAAAATAAATGCATACACAAAAACGGAGTGCTCAATTTTGCATCAATGTTGATGGAGATGATATCAATTAGCCATGAATCCCTCGAATAAGTTCTCGGTACATCTTTTATCTACCGATTGAACAACCCAACAAACAATTCAAAGTCACAAATAAGCATACACATTGAATAAATGCTGTATAACAGTGTACAATGCTGAATAAAACAGGATGTCGAATTATGTGCTGAAGCTCATTGAGATCGACAGATGCGCCTTTATTCCGCCGTTTGCTCTGATATGAGCTTTATAAACGTTGACTGTCTTCCTGATTCAGAACCAGAAGTTTGATCTAATAATAAACTGAATAAGTGCAATTTGCACCTACATTGTCGCTTTAATTTGACTGTTTTCAATTGATTTAATAAAATGCTTATGTTGTCGTGTTATGTTATGTTATGCTGTCTTATAATCGTTTTCTTGCTCCTTTATTAGATTTCATTGCATTGCTTTACAATATTGCTGTATAAAGGTGAATTCAGCCAGCAAAATAGCTCTTATACCACTATGCGTCCATGTTTTAATTGCATGCTTTGTAAATGCTTTATAAACGGCGTATTATATTCATCACAACACTGTCCAACAAACAATTCAGAGTCACAAATAAGCATATAGATTGAATAAATGCTTTATAACAGTGTAAAAATTATGTGCTCAAAAAACTATTCCGCTGATTTCTCTGATTTGATTAATATACTTATTAAAAGCAATACAAACGATGACTGTCTTCCTGATTCAACACCAGAAGTTTGATCTAATAACATACTGAATAAGTGTAATTTGCACATACATTGACGCTTCAATTCGACTGTTTTAAATTGATTTATTAAAATGCCTTATTAGACGTCTAATAATTGTTTTCTAGCTCCATTATTAGATTCAATTGCATTGCTTACCAATATTGCTGAATAAAGATGAATACAGTCAGCATAATAGCTCTTATACCACTATGGGTCCATGTTTTAATTTCATGCTTTGTAAATGCTTTACAAACGGCGTATTCATCCATTATTCCACAACACTGCTTCAGGCTAACAACAAAACGAAATTGGTAGCATAGTGGTTACCGTTTCCGCTTTCCAAGTAAAAGGACGTGAGTTCAATCCCAACATCAACCCTTTTTTTTAATTTATTTTCTACGCCTAATTAATTTAAATCGTAATCATAGATCGCATCACTCACGACAACCAATTCATAGATCTATAGAAAAGAATAGCATCCTTTCCATCGAAATTAGAAAGATGGAGATGTAACGTTGGTCTCATGTTAAACAAACTATGAATGAATTAATCATTCTCACATCTCCTTGAATTAGCTAGAGTTACGACTGGGAGTGCAGGCTGATAGGTTTTCAGATTCAAGCTTTTATTGATTATTTAGCTGCCCTTTAGATGTAATCTAGGATAGCTCAGATGGCAAGGCAAGCGGCTGGTGATTGGAAGGTCATGGTTCGAATCCTATCTAACGACATGTGTGTGTATGGTATGTAGTAAATTTTCTAGTATCTGTGTGGCGGGTGCGCGCGTGCTTCGACAGAAGAAATTAATGACAACAACAATCACGAACGAAAAAAACAACCCTGCTTCTGTGCCGTTCTTATTTTCGGATTAATTGGAAAAATGGTGTTTAATTAAACATTATGTAACATTCATATCAAGGTAAATTTATTGTAGACGTAACAATATAAATCATTGTTAAGACAATAATTTTCGTCTTATTGTTACATTGTTTTTTAATGTATTTTTGTTGTTATTTTTTTCGGGCAATATTCTCAAATACATATGAAGCGCTCTGACCGAATCAATGTTTTTCTTCATCCGATAGGCCGAAGTGAATTCATTGGCGTTTTAATGGCGTTTGAATGCGTTATAGTACGTTCAGACTACAGAGTTATAACATGTTATAGCGCTATCTTGATGGTGGTTTCTGTGTTGCAATTATTTGACAACCGTTATAACATGTTATAACTCTCCAGTCTGTACAGCGTTTTAGGCCGAGTTAAGAATCCGTAGGCCGAGTTCGGCGTCAAGAAGCAATATTTATTATTTTTAACAATATCTCAACAATTTGTTTCTCTTTATGCAATCTTACGGTACGTATGGAAAGGTAAATAAATTTTAAAGCCATCAGTAAGAATAACATTCCCTTTGGCGCTAAACTATGCTAGATTAAGAAAGACTAAGTGCGGGTTGTGCTTAATAGGCCGGAAATGGGGTAGTTAACCCTATTCGTCAGATTAGTATGTGGTACAGTAATGACCCGATGTTGTCGGCCCCTCAGCGCAGCAGACTTTTATTATTAAACAATTTCATAAAATCGTAATTCCAAAACAATCTCATGCATCTTCAAGATGGGTGTTTAAGGTATACTTTGGTGCAATAAGACCACTGAAAAAAGCGTATGGGTTTCGTAGAACATTAGAAAACAATTTCAAAAAGGGGGCTCACCAAATCGGGTCATTACTATATATTATATAGTAATAATAATAAAAGCACACGAGTGGAACTTCGGATCAGAAAGTGGCTCCACTTGTCATTTGCGAACACTAGCGCACCTAGCGGTAGAAGGCATCTTCTGCCTGCAGTTAAGATAGGCAGCATGCTATGATAGTGTGAGTGCACATAGAAAACCAGTGCGGAACGCTACCACAACACATTGCTTGTTGAGCAGAAAAACGAACCACGTTTTGATTCATCGATTTGTTTGCACTTCCCCTTCTGTTCTGTGATAAAAGGCATCCCACTGTAGACATATTATGTCTACAGTGGGATGCCTTGGTCCCCTTATCATTCTCAAGAGCTGACATCTACTAACTAGACGTGAAAAAGAACTGGCATCACTGATAAGTTCGAAATGTGGTGGCTTGCTCAATGCTTCAGTGGCGCCACCATGACAAATGCAAGCACATTCCCAACTAAAACATTATTTGCGATGAATGTGATTGTGAGTGTTATGTCTGTTTGTCTGTGGTATAACGTTCACATTTTTCGAGTCTGCTTCTCCCTCCCACTGTAACCATGGAATTTCGCTCTGTGTACGGGCACGTGGTTTGTGGACAGCCATATTCGATGATGATTCAAAAGTCGATTAAACAAATTGCAGCGTGTAAAAAGATCGAGATCGCCTATTATTACTACTGTCAGCGGCCCTGACAGTTCCAACATTATTAAAATTTTTGTTTTGTTCTGCAGGACAACAATAATTATAATAAATTTAATAATAATTGAGTTTACATTTGAAACATGTTGTTATTCTCATTAGTTGTGTATTGTAATTGCTAGTGGCCGTTTGCCAATTGGAAATGTAACAGCTAATTTCAACGGAGACAAATGTCGAAGGATAAACGGGATAAGCCCAAACGGTAAGTCTTAAAGCAGAGTAACTGTTTCTGTTTACCTGAAAAGTGAAAGTCAATAATTCTAACGCGGTTGCGAGGGCTTCGGAATCTGCAGTAACCGAATACGTTAACATTCTGCCCTATGTATTAGCGGAATCATAATGGTTGGTATGCTTTCCTTTGCAGAATCTCAAAGATGGTAAGTAAGTCGTTCCTGTGGGGCGTGATTGCCGCGTCGCTTACCTGGTCGGTTAGTTTGTATCTGTATTGGAGTTTGAGCAGCGGTTCCGGCTCCGTGGCTTCCGTTCCAACGGCTTCAATGTTGCAAGGAGATCAAAGTGCCGGTGAACAATCGGCGGCAGTGATTGGTCCCGTTGATCAGGAAACAATGAACAGGAAGACACATGTCCAGAATGGCCACCAGAACAACCTGATAGGATTGGAATCGCTTGGTGAGAAGACAGAGAATGGGAAAAGTTTTAGCTTCTTCAAGGAGAAGTACAATCGTAATCGGAAGGAGCAGGCATTTAGGAAGATAAGCCATAAACTGATAGATGAGCTGCAGCCGATGATGCCGAACGGAACGGATGAATTCGGGATGGTGAGAAATTCTGAAGAGCAGTTTATAAGGGATGTTGGCTACAGGAAGCATGCGTTCAATGTGCTAGTCAGCAATAAGATTGGTCCGTTTCGGGGGGTTCCCGACACGAGACACAAATTGTAAGTTTAGACGGTGAAATTACTGGAACAGGTAATTGTAAACTGAATTTTGCAGGTGCCATGAGCAAAGCTACGACAAAGTACTTCCATCTGCATCTATTGTGATGTGTTTCTACAACGAACATTTGGAGACGTTGATACGTTCGGTCAATTCGGTTATTCGCCGTACTCCATCCTACCTTCTTCAGGAAATTATCCTGGTTGATGATTGCAGTGATTTGGATGATCTTCGAGACGATTTGGAGGCCGAGTTGAATGCACTTAAGAACAGTAAAGTAAGACTTATCAGAAATGCTGAACGAGAGGGATTGATGCGTTCCCGTGTTTACGGGGCACGGAATGCCACAGGCGATGTTCTGATTTTTCTGGACAGTCATATTGAGGTCAATGAGGATTGGGTCGAACCGTTGTTGCAGCGCGTGAAAGCGAACACAACCATACTGGCTATGCCGGTGATTGATATCATCAATTCGGATACGTTTGTCTACACTTCGAGTCCGCTGGTCCGAGGAGGTTTCAACTGGGGTCTACACTTCAAGTGGGATAACCTTCCGAAGGGAAGTTTAGTGAAGGAAAATGACTTTGTTGGCCCGTTTCAATCACCAACCATGGCCGGTGGGTTGTTTGCCATGGATAGGCAGTACTTCAAAGATCTAGGTGAATACGATATGGGAATGGATGTTTGGGGTGGAGAAAATTTGGAGATTTCTTTCCGTGCTTGGCAATGCGGTGGATCGATTGAGTTGGTTCCCTGCTCTAGGATCGGGCATGTTTTCCGCAAGAGACGTCCTTACGGGTCTCCTGATGGATCGGACACAATGATTAGAAATTCCTTGCGATTATCGCGAGTTTGGATGGATGATTACATAAAATATTTCTTTGAAAATCAACCCCAAGCTAAGAAAATTGATCCAGGAGATTTAACAGAAAGAAACGAGCTAAGAAAGCGACTGAATTGCAAATCTTTTGAATGGTATTTAAAGAACATCTACCCTCAACTGAAACTTCCTGGAGAAAAAACAACCGACAGCAACGTTTCCCAACCCAAATTCCAACCGTGGCACTCAAGGAAGCGTAACTATGTAAGCAGTTTCCAAATTCGGCTTAGCAACAGCAGCCTGTGTGTCACTACGGAAAATTCGAAGGAGAAGAGTCTGTGGAAGAAAGGATCCCGTCTGGTGCTGCATCCCTGTTTGCGAGTGAAAGCCCAAATGTGGTACGAAACGGAACGGGCCGAGTTGGTTCTCGGTCAACTACTGTGTTTGGAAGCACCCTCGAGTGCCACCAAAGGAACACCGATGTTGAACAAATGCCACGAAATGGGAGGCGATCAGGCATGGAAGCACAGGAAAACGGTAATTTTCCAAACAGCGTCATTGAGCTCCTTCATAATTATGTTTAATTTACAGAAAGGAACACCCATCTACAACATTGCCTCGGGCAGTTGCTTAGCGGTGCAGGAAATTCGCAAAGGTGCTTCCGTAGGGTTGAATTTGTGTGTGAACTCCTCCCGCAGCACGTGGGATTTGATGATTTCGTAGCCTCTTGAAAGTGCAATCGAATCGGCGGTACTCTCTTACCAACTATTTGTAATGTAGCTCGAATAATTCCAGATTTATAGATAGGCATAAGAGATGTTTCTTTTTCTATTCATCGGTGTTTTCTTTAGAAAGAAAAGCCCAATATTCTCAACTACACAATTTATTAACATGATCTAGGGCCACTCAATGCGACAGAGTATGTCGTCCTTTGAGGATTCTCCGCATCAGGGTGCGGCGTCCCTCCGGAGTAGAAATGCGTTTCCACCAGCCGTGCACACGGACGCGCTTGGTTTCCCGTGCCCGAGGGAACTGATTTCGGACTACGGTTCGGGCCGAGACGGTTGACCATGCGCCACCGGCCGGTGTTGCTGCTGCCGTCAGTGCTGTGTTGACAATGCTGCTGCACGATTTCGGCACCACCAGAGGGATCAACATTCTGTGAGGAAACGTTAAGAGCATCGCGTTGGTAAACAATGACCGGAATGAAATCGAAACTATACTTACTGAAAGGATCGCACTAAAGCCATTATTTAAACCAAAAAAGTTTTGAACCTTTATGAATTTACGTAAGAAACTATACTGATTTGTTTTGATGAAACTGCTCACGGCCTCGCTCTCGGTTCGGTATTCTGTGTTTTCATCTTGACATAATTCAAGCTGAAGATTGGATTAGGTCCAAAGTAACAATGACACATTCTCTTCGTCGGCTTTCTCTTTGTATTCCCACGGCCATGTCAAGTCATTCTCAGGTATTTTCAGCACACAGATCAATTAAAGAAGCTGTTTTCCAGCATTTAATACGACAAACACATCAAGAAACGGTTATGTGCTCAAGTTATTAACGAAAGATAAAGTCGACGAAGAGAATCGATCAATGTTATTTAGGACCTAATGTAATGTTCAGCTTGAATTTTCTTCATTTTCGTATAGGGTGCCCAAATAAAATATTAATTCATACACGCTAACGTGAAAAATATGCTTTACGTGTCTTTTATACTTTAGCAAAAATGTACACGGCCGATGAGACTTCCACAGAGAGAAAGTCACTTTTACTCAAGTGAAAGATTTTTTTTAAACAGGTAACTCGGCACTGTTTCTTGCACACATTACGTAACGCAGGAGGGGGGGGGGTATTTATTGTTACATAGGGAGAAAGGGGACTACTGGGAAATGTTACGTAGCAGATCGACCGGTTTTCGAGGAGAACTCAACCTCGATTGTCTGTCAGAAATAACCACGCTCGGATAGCAGGGTTAATCGATAACTTTCCTTCAGTCAAATTTTAACCAAAAGTTTAAATATTCCACCACACGGCCAACTCCAATAACTCAGCGACTGTATTCAATTAACCACTTCATTCGAGCAGATAAAATGACGTTTACTACCACTCGAACTTTGAAATGAAACATTATTTTGAGATTTTTTCTTCTAGAACATCGAGAAAAGTAGCCAACATTTGTGCGTTTCATAAAAAAATAGAAATTAGTTGGTCCAGTTTTGTGAAATCGCTGGTAGAAAGTCACGCCAAAACTGCTTGATAAAGTGGTCAATTGACTCAGAGCATTTCTTTCCATACGAAATTTACTCATATTTGGAAAAAAAAAACTGTAACTTAAATAAACCGAGACTTAAACGCTGTCCAGACTGGAGAGTTATAACATGTTATAACGGTTGTCAAATAATTGCAACACAGAAACCACCATCAAGAACGCGCTATAACATGTTATAACTCTGTAGTCTGAACGTACTACTAAACATAGTTAATGAATAACTGAAGTTTTTTTTCTCTCCAAATATGAGTAAATTTCAGATGGAAAGAAAATGCTCTGAGTAAATTGAATTCAGTCGTTGAGTTATTGGAGTTGGCCGTGCAAATGGTTCAGAGCCTATATACACGGTGTTTCGCGAAAACCCATTAATGGGTATAAAAATACCCATTTCCGCTAAAAGTGCCCCTCCCAGCTAGGTGGCATCCCTATCTTGTTTGCCTTGCCTTGAAAAGAGCTAACATCGCTGCGGGCCCGCGAATTGTGGGCCCCACTGACAGCTCATAATTTGTAAACAAATAGAAATTAGATTGTTTGTGTTATGTCTGTTTTTCTGTGGTATCACGTTTAACGTCACTACACGGTGTTTCGTGAAAACCCATTAATGGGTAAAAAATACCCATTTTCAAATCATGTATGCAGCTGTCAAAAAATGGGGGAGTTTTGAAATCATAAAATGGATGAAAAAATACCCATTTAAAGAATCAGTTCACGGTTGAATAATGCTCGGAATAATGGGTATATTTTTTACCCACTAATGGGTGAAACAACACTTCGAAAATATATAGTCTGATTTCAGTCACCGACTCACTGGAAATGCAAACAGTTACTGTCCGCAGCATATTTAGCAAAAATAGACGATCTCCGGAAAAGCTAAGAATCCGAAACGTTGGAGAGGCCTACGGATAAGTCAATAGAAATTATCCAATTTGGTATTATAATTTTTCGTGTAATAAAATTTTATCGGAACAGCTGCATTTATTTTCAATGTATTAGAAAAAAAAATTTCTATCAACTAGGACAAATAACCAGGCCAGTGACAAAGCCTATACCAACAGCAGCGTTTGACAGTAGGCAGCATGTCCCGGGCTCAAATAATTTATTTTGCTGTGCTAGGCCCGCTGTCAATGTATAACATGTTGCCTAAGCGCCTGCCACTGGGCTGCAAATCACTGTGAATTTCCACATGGTTCAAAGGGGAATTCCCCTACGCTGTAGCTTGCAGCTAAATTATTACTTACCTAATGGAGCTCCTGGAAATAAAAGACCACGAGTCCTGGGTTGTCAAATATACGAAGCATAGCCTACTTTGATTAAATCGATTTAGAGTGTACGTCGACTTTAGTTCCGTATACATTTTTACCGAATCAGTAATACAGCTCATTTCACACTTTCTTAAGCTCATGACTGTATACCGCACATCTCCCCTCTACTCTGAAAAAAAAATATTACAGTTTATTTAAGGTGAATCGCTGTGACATCCTTATTCTCGAAATCATTTGGAATCTTTAAGTGCACAAATATTAGCTTCTACGACACACACAAAAAACAAAAATTGTACCAGTAAAAATATTGACCTTTCAATTTAAAAGTATCAACAAATTCGTTACCCTAACTACGAAGATATTTAATTTAACAATGTAATTTTCAATTCAAAAACGAATGTTTTGATTTTATCTTTCAGTTTTAAAAGCGCAAATTTTCAAATCGAAAATTGTTTTACTGTCAAAATTACTTCTTCATGACTAGATTTCTACCTTTTATGGGTTATTATACGGTAGCGTGAGTATATAAAGACAAAATGTGCCAAACAATAGGTGGAACATTTTACCAGCCACCAGCCTGTGCATCGACCCATGCAACAGTTCAGTATTGAAATTATTCCCTGTATCGATCAAGAATAAAATATTGTATCTTTCAGTAGAATCCGGTCGTCCATTAGAACGTGAAAACCTACCTGGAACTACCTGAAGGACGTCTATACGGCTCTAGAAACGAGCAGCTCGCCAATGCCGGTAGTGGAATGGAACACAAACACAAAAAACTCTCGAACAGACGCAAACCTCGCAAATGTCCGACAAAGATTCCAGTAAGTGACCTTAAATTTCCTCCTGCTTGGACAAGATTATTTCACATTACCCCTCACTTTTACACTCTTATTAATTTCTATATACCATTCTAGATTAGATCCACGACGCTTCGCTGGCTGCTTCCCACATAGAACATATCCTCAGCGAAGCCACCAGTTCACTGAGTTTTGTTGCTCCGTACTGGACCACAACAGACATGGATGATGCAGTTCAAAATCTGACTGCTGCTATACCTGGGAGGGAGAAGCAAATACTACACACAAAATTAATAAATCAATCACAATATTGCGCAAGACAATTCTTGGCAAATAAAAATTATCAAGTAATTTGTTCCCATAATGAGGGGTTTCGGTTTTTCGTGTCTCTGTTGTTTACGTGTTACCGTCGGATGACTTAATGCTTGTGGAAAGTTGGAGTTGAAAAATCACTTGTAGAAACTCGTAGTGAATCAGCCAAAATGAAGTGTCAGGTGAAATACTGCGGCCGGAACAGCAGGAATTATCCTGAATTGGGTTTTTTGCGCTTTTCTACTGATTATATTACAAGATCCCAATGGATTAAGTTCTGTCGGATGGATTCCTGAACCAGCGAAATTAAACCAAGCTCGCGAGTCTGTAGCGTAAGTGTTGACGGTACAAGTGTTTTGCATTTTATCAATGTTGCTATGATTTTTTTCAATTATTTGCAGGCCCATTTCTTAGAGGACTGCTTCAGCGTCGATAAAAATGGGAAGAAAACGAAAAAAATGCCGTTCCGTCGATTGAAGCTTTCTTGCTACCTCCTGAAGACGAACCGGAAGAGAGCGATCGGTTGTTGGACTTTTATAAATCCCGTCCCCTCTACTCTTCGCCGGCTCTTCTGGATCATAACTACGCGAACTTTGCTGCTGTGGTGCCTGAATGGGTTGCTATTGGAGATGAAAAAGATGAACAGAACACTGAAGAGGATTCAGACCCGGAAGTCGCCAGTTACGATCTAGATTTGGAGGAAAAGTTCGAACCACAAAGTGAACCGGTCTGTGGTACAGCGTGTAACGAAGGGACTCATTCGTGCTCAAGGATTAGAGCTAGTGAGAAGGAAAATTTATTCAAGTTGTTCAGGTACCCAACCTGACCCCTGTAATTACGGCTACTCCCTGTGCCGGAGTTGAAGTTTTGCGTGCCCCTCGATGCTACCCGTACCCAAATATACCCCTTACCCGATCCGAACTCAAAAATATTTTCTTCGTATACTCGTACCCGACACGAACCCGAAAATTTAGAGTAACCGTACCTGAATATCTCTACAACCCCCTCCATTTTGAGAGAACTATCAAATTTACGATATAACATGCTTGATACACTACAATTTAGCTAAATTACATACCGATTCCTGAACTGAAGAAACGAAAATTTTGCAGTGCAAATTGTTTTCAAGCAAGAAAATATTTTGTATTCGATATCAATACTTCCCATTGATTGATGTTTTGTACTGCTGGCTCCCACTGACAGTTTGTGACAGCTCATTTCTGTCTTCACTTGACATTCACATTTTCCGAGTCTGTTTCTCCCTCCCAGCTTGGGACCAATAGGCTAGTCAAGTAGTGAGCCAATTTAAAATCGTTAGTTTCGTATTGATTGTTGATATTACCATAGAGGTAACTCTAAGACTAGAAGGTCCCGAAATAACGTGCTCAACTTTTTGGCTCAGCTCTGGTACTCTCTTCGGTCCCAAGCTAATCGATTTACCCCTCGAAATATAGGAAAAACGAATAACCCCTCATTGTATCTGTCAAACTTTCATAGCGAATCAAAACAAAAATTGCGTAGTACTAGAATTTCGACTAGAATGGGCTACGTTAATCGTTTGCTTGGGACCAATAGGCTAGTCAAGTAGTGAGCTAATTTAAAATCGTTAGTTTCGTATTGATTGTTGATATTACCATAGAGCTAACTCTAAGACCAGAAGGTCCCGAAGAAACGAGCTCAACTTTTTGGCTCAGCTCTGGTACTATCATAGAGGTAACTCTAAGACCAGAAGGTCCCGAAGAAACGAGCTCAACTTTTTGGCTCAGCTCTAGTACTATCTTCGGTCCCAAGCTAATCGATGCACCCCTCGAAACATATGAAAATCCACGAACCCCTCATTTTATCTGTCAAACTTTCATAGCGAATCAAAACAAACATAGTGTAGTACTGGAATTTATACTAGAATGGAGTACGTTAATCGATTTGCTTGGGACCAATAGGCTAGTCAAGTAGTGAGCCAATTTAAAATCGTTAGTTTCGTATTGATTGTTGCTTTTACTATCAATTAATTCAATACATCATCATGAATAACATTGATTGATACATATTATATATTTCTGCTGTGTACATATTAAAGTGATGGGCGGTGGTAGAATGGTGATACATTATCACGATTAAAAGCTTGTTTCCAGCAAAATAAAAATCACGCAAAACAAACAAAACAAATCCCTAAAAATAGACTGAGCTTCTGTCATAAGGATCCATATATCTGCTAAATTCAATCAATACTGAACGTTTCGTAGAACCGTAATCACGACTTGCATTTGTTTTGTTTATATTCAACACAACTGACGCGTTGACCGAACGAGGGAAAAGCAACTAGTGAAATAATTGCATGCACGAGGGATGCTTCGGTTGCAAATCAATGCTTAGGAATGTGCAAGATAGAGAGTGCTAGCAACCGGTGGAAACTAACGATTTTAAATTGGCTCACTACTTGACTAGCCTATTGGTCCCAAGCAAACGATTAACGTCTAGTCGAAATTCTAGTACCGTAAAACGGGGTAACAATTATAGTTTTTTTTTAAGTATATTCTAAATAATTTTCACAGAAATTATTTTTTTTTCAAATTTTATTTTTTTAAAACAAGTATTGAGGATCCAAGAGTCAATTCGTTAATAATATGCTTGACGGAAATTAAATCTTTTGCACTATTTTTTTAGTCTTGTGACCGAACATCAGTATTTTGATTTGGGGTTACTTTGATAATGCTCGTTGAATGTAGAAGAAAATGCGTGAAACTCAAATAATTTAGTTCTTGAAATATGCAACTTTGAATGAGTATATAATAAGAAAACATCATCAGTAATAAGAATACAACATTTAATTTGTAATGGCTATATTGGAAATAAATTTCATAAGTGATGATTTGAGTGCTTTTTCAAACAGGTGACAAACAATAAAATTGAATCTTAATCTGTTTGTAAAATATGTAACACATACAATATAAAAACTATATACCATATCAACGGAAATGCCATAAGCTACATTATGGAACCAATGTTTCCAATTCGGAAAAGGCGCAGAGAGTAAATTTAATCATTGTATTCTACTATCAAAGTTACCCGCATTATCAAAGATACCCCGTTTTACGGTACTACACAATGTTTGTTTTGATTTGCTATGAAAGTTTGACAGATAAAATGAAGGGTTCGTGGATTTTCCTATGTTTCGAGGGGTGAATCGATTAGCTTGGGACCGAAGAGAGTACCAGAGCTGAGCCAAAGAGCTGAGCACGTTTCTTCTTCTATGGAGTTACCTCTATGGTGCTAGCATTGAGGTAACTCTAAGACCAGAAGGTCCTGAAGAACGAGCTCAACTTTTTGGCTCAGCTCTGGTACTATCTTCGGTCCCAAGCTAATCGATTCACCCCTCGAAACATAGGAAAATCCAATAAACCCTCATTTTATCTGTCAAACTTTCATAGCGAATCAAAACAAACATTGTGTAGTACTAGAATTTTGACTAGAAGAGGGTACGTATATTGATTTGCTTGGGACCAATAGGCTAGTCAAGTAGTGAGCCGATTTAAAATCGTTAGTTTCGTATTGATTGTTCTAGCACCATAAAAAATACCTCACAAAATACGCTTGACGATATTTTTTGAAGAATTTTCTTTTAAGAGTTATGTCTATTTGTCAGTGGTGATATGATCCAGCGTCCACAAATCATAGGCACTTGCATTCCCACTTCATTCATTGTAACGAGTTAATCTTGGTTAAAATCACATCCGCAAACAAGTCACGGCTGACTTAACATATGTTAAAGTGACTGTAATAAAAAAAGCTCATTTGAATTGTCTTCTGTACACAAATTACAAATAGTTTATATAAAATAATAACAGTTCATAAATTTAATGAAAGGTTCTTTTTGTACAATTTTTTTTAGTGCCTAATTTGAAAATTTCAGAAATGTTAATATTTGTGTGAGCTCCCTTTCTAAAATTATCTGGAAATGTAAAAATATTCTGCAAAAATGGAAATGGGATTTTCAGATACTTTTATGGATTTTTGAACCAATCGATTTTTGCTTGCTATTTTCCATGGAAACGCTCTAATAAACGCGCTTTACATTCAAGGATTTCGGATATTACCTAGTTAATAATCAACACCAAACCTGGACTGACTATTATTCTATCGTCTTTTGTTGTTGTTTTTTCTTCAGTACTTTTATTTTTTTCCGTTCGTGTTTGATTTGATACAAAAAATAAAGCTTCTTATAGTTTCTCGACTGTGTGTTTAGATTTTTTAAATCGTAATTAACTTCACAATCATCGTTCGTTTCGTAACACTGCATAATTCCACCCACCGTCACTTATCGCTATTAATTACCATCAAAGTTTCGCTTCGTTTGTGGTTATGTTCGTTTTCCTTTGCTTAACCAATTCACCTATTCTGTTTACCTACCCATCGGCTTCCCATGACCCGTTGTTCTATTTCATACACTCATTCGATTGCAAAGATTCCGTACAAACAAAAGTAGTGCTTCTTCGATTTTCTCTCTAAGTGGTATGCTTTGGGTGGTGAATTTTCCTTGCTTTTTTCATGAAACGTCTCGACGCGACGGAAATAAGAAACAATGGAAGTAGGGAAATAGCGGGATTCGTGCGCTCCTCCTCACGTCAATACGGCACCTGTATGGCAAACAAAAGTAAATATATAAAGAAGAAGAAAACCAAAAATACTGAAGGTAGGTACACAGACATATTAATGGGAAAGCAAATCATGAAATTGTAGATGGATCTGGAGCGGGTGTTTTTGTTGTTGTTAATGTTTTCATTGAAAATACAAACGGTAAAATGTGATAGGTAGGATTTGACTATTCCAGTAGTCGGGAGCAGAAGCGATAGGAGGCTAGAGAAAACAATAAATTTCATAAAACGATAAGCTTATACCAAACAAGGCACTCTGGAGTTTTGGGAGAGAACTTTTTTTCTTCTGCTCATTGTTCACAGATGCTCTTTCGTTCTATGATAGCGTTCGTAGCTTTTGTTTTGTTGTTGTACTTTGCGTAGCTTTTCCGTCAAGGTGGAAAAGCTGATTCGGTTTGTTGAGGAGCGATTCCAGGCAAGCGGAATGAAGTGAAGAGTTGCTTAATGGTTTTTGGGAAGTTTTTCCTTACTTTGGTTTTGTTGGGTTGCGGAATTAAAATTCAACAATTGGGAAAATTATAAGCTACTGAAGGGGAAGAACTTTTTCCTTTCCCACTGAAAGGTTTGTGTTTTTGTATTGTTATTTGGTTAGGAAAGCTCGGTACGAGCGAAACGCAGCATCAACTTTTAATTAGATGTGGTGTAGCGATCTCAACTTTTTTAGAACAAGGTAAAAAATGGTTTCGTTTTGATTGAATGAAGGTTTTTCTTTTTATTTAGAATTTGATTTGTTTTAGTTTATATAAAATGCAGCTTCTCTATCGAAGGATTGCATATGGTAATGTAACAGTATCGTTTCGCTATTCTAAACTTTAAGAAACAGATATCAACTGGATAGAATCTAGAAAATTCAACGCCTTAGTGGTAGTTGACCTTGAAATCAGTATGACAACACATGTCGCCTATTGTTTACTATACTGGCCAATTTGAGCCCAAATTTGAACCTATTTTCCGTTACCGTTATGGTAGTGCTCTATTGTTTTGGGTCCGAAATCGCTGGAAAACACTGTTGCTCATAAATATTTTTGAAGGAGTAGTCATTTCTAACTTTAATGTATTCTTACTTTAATAAGGGCTTATGAATCAAAAATTAATAATTTACCAAAGGTCTTATTTTTTGTGAATAAAGCTTTTCAATTCGCACCCCAAAAGGCCTTGGTTCAATCCCAGTCGGCGCCACCGGGATTTTCTGAGGCATAAAATCTCTTTTCAATTATTTCTATGCTTCTTTTCGCCAAAACCGATGTGCGGTATAAGAGGTGAGGAGAAAGGAAACTAGTGGACTCTTTCATTCTGACGGTGTTCTTATGCAACAGCAGACGTGACGTCACGTCTGTTGCTGCATAAGAAGACGCGAGAACGAAAGAATCCACTAGTTTCCTTTCTCCTCACCTCTTTTACCGCACATCGCGCCAAAACCACTGGTAGAGAATAATATGCTGCAGCATGACAGCAGTTCTTGAAGAACGTAGCACCGTTTCCATGCCGCTACAAGCATCACAACCAACCTCACAATGTTAAAGCAACACTGAAAAGCTTCACCGCTCGTCGAGGACGTCCAGCGTTAATAATATGCGACAATGCTTTTTTAGGAGCAAATCTGGAACTACGGAAATGGGAGAATTTGTTCAAATTTCAGCAGTTCCAGAGCTGATTAGAACGTTACATCGGAGAGGATTCCAGCAGCATCACCAAACTCAGTGGATAATGAGAAGTAGCCGTTAAATTCTCCAAGAACGCCTTCAAGAAGACAATCGAAACAAGGAGTATACTCTTCGACAAAATGCAGACAATGCTCATCCAGATCGATGCGGCTTTGAACTCCAGAACCCTTACTTAAATTAGTAACTATGCTGGAGATTTCGAAGCGCTTCTGATAAAAGGCTATTTGTGGCTTAAGCAGCTTGATTGAAGGTGGTCTATAGAATTCTAAGCAGCCTCATTTTTATGTCGTTATAAGAACTTGAAAGTTCCGGTACCATAATTGAAGAGTATTCTAAGCAGCTTCTGGCGGAACTTGAACGAAACTTTTAGAAAATAAATTAAAAAGGTTTTTGTCCTCTATACCAAAATTCAATCTTTAGTTCGCACTTTTATGAAAGTTATTTCTAAAGGCAGGTATTAATGTGTATTGATTTATCAGCATTAGTAGTAGAATTGGAGCTGTTTGAAGAATTATACCATAGAGATAACTCTAAGACCAGAAGGTCCCGAAGAAACGAGCTCAACTTTTTGGCTCAGCTCTGGTACTATCTTCGGGCCCAAGCTAATCGATTCACCCCTCGAAACATAGGAAAATCCATGAACCCCTCATTTTATCTGTCAAACTTTCATAGCGAATCGACAAACATAGTGTAGTACTGAAATTTATACTAGAATGGGGTACGTTAGTCGATTTGCTAGTCAATAGGCTAGTCAAGTAGTTAGCCAATTTAAAATCGTTACTTTCGTATTGATTGTTGATTATACCCAGTCCCTGAGATATAATAAAGTGAGCTGTTGTCCCGCCTAGTGTTGGAGTTTTCAGTTCCAGCTAACTGACTTGAATACGAAACACAACACCTTGATGAATTTTAAATTGGTGTTTGCCCGCATGGGCGTAATTACTTTTGTAAACATACACCTCAATCGCCAATTTCTCGCGATTGGAAGAGCAATCTCGCGAACAAACTATACCAAATGATAGAGGAACCATTCCGCTACCTGTTTGTGTTGTTAGTTTTTTAGATTGAACTTTAATTCGCGAGAAATTGGCCAATTACGTGTTTGTTTACAAAAGCAATTACGCCCTAATCTCAAAGTTCTCCGGAATTATGATTTATTCGGGTTACTGATCATTTCATATTTAAGTACATTCAATTTTGTTACTAATAAAGACATGTGCGGATTGCTTCATGTGACTTGAAAGTTCTGTCGGAACTTTATGGAATTCGAAAGTTCTGTCGGAACTCTATTTGAACTTTACGGAACTTGGAAGTGATTTTAATCGTTGAATGCGGAACTTTTGGTTACTTACTGTAATCACCCAACGATGCGCTATACAGCGCACTACTTCTCACTATCCAATTGATTGGATATTTTCAATGTAAATAGTTAAATAATCGATTATCAGGCAATCGAGATGCAACGCAATCGATAAAAAATAACCGATTATTTAAATTATTAATCGATTAGTTCGATTCATCGAGATTAAATCGGACATATCTAGTCAATATGTTTGCCTTTCTCTTACACCGAGGAGTACCGAAAGGTCAAGGAATTGTTTTAAACATATAATTTTGATCAGAGGCTCGGAGGGTCATGTTTCATATACCAATCGACTCTGGCTCTCATAGAATCCTATTGAATTTTATCCCGATCGAACAACGTGAATTGTTGGTTCCCCTTGGAAAAGTGGCTAGATTCTGACCTGGGCCAAAACTCAGCATGCGACATATTAAATCACATGAGAATGCAAAAACAAGGTCAAACAAGTTCAGCACAAACGGAACAAGCCTTTCGTAACAACTACAACCGTAAATGGCAAAGTCTACATGAATGACTGTCTCAAGAAACGACTGCTTCCATTTCTTAAATCTTACAACGTTCCTACACGTTTTTGGCCGGATCTAGCCTCTTGTCACTATTCCAATGAAGTTATGTAGTGGTACAAGACGAATAGGGTCAATTTCGTACCGAAGGATCTCAATCTCACAGTTGCGGCCGATCGAAAGATACTGGGCTATAATCATAGAGTTAACTCTAAGACCAGAAGGTCCCGAAGAAACGTGCTCAACATTTTGGCTCAGCTCTGGTACTATCTTCGGTCCCAAGCTAATCGATGCACTCTTCTAAAGATAGGAAAATCCACGAACCCCTCATTTAATCTGTCAAACTTTCATAGCGAATCAAATCAAACATAGTGTAGTACTAGATTTTGACTAGAATGGGGTACGAAAGATGTACGTGGGACCAATGGGCTAGTCAAGTAGTGAGCCAATTTAAAATCGTTAGCTTCCACCGGTTGCTATAATGAAACACGTAAAGTTGTCACTGCGGAGCAGTTATTGTTGAAATCATGGTTGAAAGCAGAAAAATACAGTCAAGATTCCTATATGGTTAATAAGGACCGCACTATAGGAACCGGCATTAACGAATACACGTAGCATATGGGATTAGAGCTAATTGGGGACAAACGCTTATTGTAGGGTAATTTGAAGAGATAACTTCCTGGTGTCTTGTGAAAAGTTATTAAACAGAAAATTTGCCACCTTTTGAGAACATTAAGCATTCGGAAAGTCACGAGTCTGATCCTCCGGAAGACCCGGAATATCCGTAAAATTGGTAAATTCATGAAGCTGATCCTAGAGCTCCGTGGATTTTTTTCGAAACCACTTATAGACGTCTTATCAGAATGAATTCGGAGTTGTGATCCAATTATGAACCCTGGTCGCCACGGTATGGTCCTCCGGATGATCCGGAACATCCGTCAAAGTGGTCATGTCAGGAAACTGATTCTGAGCTTCACGATTTTTTTCGAAACCGCACATAGACGTCTTATCAGAATGATTTCGAAGTTGTGACCTGAATTTGGACCCAGAGGACCACGGGATGGTCCACCAGAAGATACGGAACATCCGTAAAAGTGGTCAATTCATGAATCTGATCCTAGAGCTCAGCAGATTTTTCGAAATCACTCCTAGGCGTCTTATCAGACTGAATTTGAAGTTGTGACTGCAATATGGACACTGGAGACCACAGTATGGTCCTCCGGAAGATCCGGAACATCCGTCTTATCAGAATGAATTCGAAGTTGTGACTGGAATATGGACCCTGGAGACCACAGTATGGTCCACTGGAAAATCCGGAACATCCGTAAAAGTGGTAAATTCATGAATCTGATCCTAGAGCTCAGCGGATTTTTTGAAATCACTCCTAGACGTCTTATCAGAATGAATTCGAAGTTGTGACTGGAATATGGACACTGGAGACCACGGGACGGT